GCGGCACCCATCAGGCCAACAGCTTTCCCATGCCCACCATTGCATGCAGGATATGACTCACACGGTCTGTTGAGATGCCTACTGTCAGCGCTCTTCGATTTAGCTGCGGGATTTCCCTTTCAAAAACAAGAATGGAATCACCAACCGATATTGCTCTTTTTCCATCTTTATAAAATCCGTGGACTAGCTTACTTCCAGAGGCGGTCAAAGCGAGTCCGATTCGTCTGAAATTTTGACTGTAGCCGTCTACGATAGTGGCGCCATCTGGCGGTAGGGCTAAGTACTTATTGGACCGCCCTCGTAAAATTCAGTCGATTCTGATGATGCTAACTTGGTTAGTAAAACGGATGTAGACTGAACTTTATTTGTTCTAGTGTATAAAAAGTGACTTTTTCAGATTATTTTTTCGCCGGAGGTTCTAATTTTACTCGTCAAGATAAATATTTATACATTTATATCAGTGATCTCAATTTTATATAATAAATAATGATCGAGAAAAGGTTATCAATAAGATCCAAGAGCACTTACCTTGAAAGTTTAGACTCATGATTTTTCACCCTATGCCCTTCGTCTATGATAATATACTGCCATTCAAAATAACTCATGAATTTTGATTCCATGAGCGGTACTTGATAGGATGTCAGCACCACAGGTTGAGTTCTGAAATTATCAATGTAGTATTCCTTCTTCAACTTATTATAGGTTGAAAAACGTTCAGTTTTTGATCCATGAAACACGACAACGGGAATTTTCGGTGCGAATTTGGCAAACTCGGCTTCCCAATTTGGAAGTGTAGAAAGCGGAACCACAATGAGAAACGGTCCTTTGATGTTTCTCTCTAATAAATGGCAGATTAATGCTATTACTTGTATGGTTTTCCCTAAACCCATTTCATCGGCGAGTATTCCATTGACACCGTTATCGAACAGAACCTGAAAATATGTTTTTATTCAATGTCACTGGGCAAACTCAATATACAATTTATAAAATTTTTGGCTATCGACCAAAGTCCTTCTATACAGATATATAAGCATTTTTTAAGAAATAAAATACTACAAGTGTAAGATTGTAAAGTAGTCCAATAGAAAAACTTGGATTTTACTACCCCCATGTGGCAAGTAGCTATAGTTGGCTCAGTTGTAATTTTTCTTGTTAACACATAATCTATCAACTGAAACCACAAATGTGCGGCTGGCAGCTACGTGCATTTGTATTTCTTTTGGTAACCAAGTGTTGCCCGTCCTTGTACTTTGCTGCACCATACTGATGATGGGCCAAGAGTCCAAAACACGTATATTGTTTACCCCTTTCTTGAGTGCTACACTCAATAACCTTCATATATTGGCACACATTTCAAATGATTAAACTTTGTGCACTTATAAAATATGTTTTAATAGTTTTTCACCATATCAACAAAAATGAATACCCAACAACAAAAGGGAAAGATGGAAAAATACCGATATTTCACACTTACTTTCATCCACTGTACTCCATCTATTTGATACTGACGCAAAGTACCTCCCTCGAAAAATCTTGGCTTTTTTATTACATCTGCCAAACCTATAAAAAAGAAAGTTTCTATTGTTCGTGTTCGATCGAATACTTTTATAATTACCCTCCCCACTATATTTTTGTTTGTCACTATCTTTTTGGTTGTCAATATCAACAGCTTCCATCATATCATTGACAGTAGGCTGAAGTTTGTTTCTCTCTTGTAGAGGTTTTATGGTACTGAAAAGTAACAACGGTTTGTTATTGAAAAACTCCTAATATCTGCTTTTACATATTCATTTATTCCAAAGATGCTTTTCGAACAACGCCATATTTTTGTCTCACCAAAGAGGGTTTCCAAAAAGATCTTGCTATTATTTTGAATCTAGAATGATAGTTTTCGAAAGAAAGTAGATTTCTGAAAAAAAAAACTCACGTTTTTTTAGGATCAACAACGATCTTTTCTTTGAAGAAATCCGAGTATTTCTCACTGATGCTCAGCAGGTAAGTCATACCCTTCAAAGCCTTCTTTTTTCTTTTCTCTAGTGCTTTTTCCTCAGCAATTTTCTTAGCTTCCAATTTCATTTGAAGCCTTTCATTGGCTTTGGCTTGATATTCTTCTCTAGCAATTCTTTTCTCTTCTATTATTTTCAATCGTTCTTCTTCGGCAATGGCTTTTTCTTCCATTCTTTTCTGTTTCAACATTTCCATCTTCTCCAGAAGTTCTTGTTTGGCTTTTTGTTTCTCCTCCTTTATTCTTTTTCGTTCTTCTTCAGCTAATCTTTTTTCTTCGGCTTTTCTTTTTCGGTTTTCATCAGCTATTCTTTTTTCTTCCAGTTTGAGCAGACGATGAAATTCTTTCTCACGGAGTTTTTCTTCTTTCGTCATACCGTCTTCAGCTTTTTTTTTGGATTTCACTTGTGAGAGTTTCTTTACTTCCCTCTTTATTTCAATTGTCTCAATATCTGGATGATTCATGATCATATCATTACTTTCGTCAGATCCTGCCATGTCACTGAAATGTAAAAAATCAAGTTAATAGAGGCAATAGTGCAATAGTGTGCAATTAAATTTTCGCCACCCAGTATTTCCTATATCATTATTAATTATACTGGGCCCAAATAAATGAAATGTTTTAAAATATCAAATAACAAGTTGAGCACCTAATATTTTTTCAATATAAGTATAAGTAAAATACAATCAAATCAATCAAAAAAGTAGAATATACAAATGTACGATTCAGGAATAAATAAATATTTGGCCCTGAATTGAAAGGCTAACATGAACTGAAGTCATTCAAATGAAATTACGAATATATCCTTGAAATTAAATTTAATGATTTTATAATTTTTCGTGAAAAAAGTGAGAGGTCCAAGGATCTTTTCAATTATCTGTTTCAACGTTTACTTTAACCATCCCAACCTTGTTCTTTTAATTTTTTCAACTAAGGCATAATCGTAGAATTTATCTCATCAGGAACAGTACAAAATTTTCAAAGTTTGTGCTGTTCAGTTACTTTATTCTAGTATAAATGCATCACAAACTTTTTTTACATACAGAAACAAAAAGAATTAGTATCGGAAACAACTATGTCCCCATGGAATTCTGCATTACACATTAATAAAAGAAACTGAAACGTATAATCATTCAAAGTGAAACACTACACTATACTCAACTACTTATACTCAATACAGAGATAAAATATTGTTAAAAAAACTTCAGTGAAAGAATGCAGATAAAAACAATAGAGAATTCCACCTTCCACAATCTGATTAAAAATTGTAATTGAGAACTTCATGAAGCTGTAGGAAGGGCAAAACTTTTTGTTTAAAAAAATTAAGTAATTAGTCTATTAATTTAAAATACAAATAAACCGAATTGTAACTTTCGTAACTCTTTGTTAGCTAGATAAATGTAGTAAGATCACCACCAATTCTTCCCAGTCAAGGTCTGCAGACCCAACTCATAAAAAAACAACATCAATACAAAAATAATTCTATTGAAAAATATCTTTAGTGACAACTAAGTTCAATTACACGTATAGTTACCTCATTGCTGATAGGATAAATTCAATAGGAAATAACAATAAAGAAATAAATATAACAGATAATTAAAATAAATTCGGCACTACTCTCACATTCACGTTTGCCGCCTAATATTTAAAGTGAGGTTAAAAAAGATAAAAGATTATAAAATGTAGAAACGGTTGTCTATAGTTTTCTCTCTCTCTCTTTCTCTATTCTTGTATGGCCCTTGCTTCCTTCTCAGGCGTACCACCACCAATCCTCCTGCTTCATTGTCATTGGGCAGAAGCTTCGGCCGGAGACGCAAGTTTTCTTGTGTTATCTAACCCTGCGTATGTTTTTTTGGTATTCTTATGCTGTGTATCACCTTTATTCTTCTGTGTACTGAGGGGTTCATGACAAATAGCACAAAACATAGTTATGAAAATATGTTAGGACATATCGATAATGAGAAACGGAGGTATGCTTTCCCTTTTTATATTTGTATTGAATTTTTTTCATAAATTTGTTCAGAATTTAAATGATTTTTACCACATTGTTGACTGACTTTGGTCACAAAACATAATGTTACAGTATACATCCAAGCAATATCAAGTACATCATTGCCGCAAAATTACGCTGCAAAATTCAAGGATAACAAAGAAAATTCTAATATGTATTAAAAAATACAATATTTACAGGTTTTTTATAAGAAATTAATATTTCTCCTCAGTTTGGTATTTGAATTTCGAAACCTAGATCTATAGACAATGACCTAGATGTCGTCATAGTCCTCTGTTAGACAATGATTGAATCATCTTGAACTGGTAACTCAGCCATAGTTAGGAAATGAATCTGCTTTATGTTCACATGAGTTTTGCAAAAGAACCGTAGATGGCGAAATATGATCATAATTTGACATGAAGGGGATATATTTTTAGGAGTGATTAATTTTTGGGAAAGAAAGTTTTTGGCTTTCTACTACTCCATCTTGATTCAAAAAAAGGATAAGGGAATCTTCCAAAGAAAGAAAGTAATCAATTTGAAAATAAGTAACTCTATACATGAATGTGTAGATCATGCAAAGAAGTAACTGAAAGAAAGTCCTCCTGAAACAGCTACTTTCATATAAACATTGAATTACACGAAAGAAAAAAATACTTTGTTTGGAAAGAATTGAAACGTATCTACGTGTTTCTATTTGCTGGTCTTCTTTTAGGTGAGAAAAACATATTATACCTTCTTCTCCCTTCACCTCTTAACCGGTAGACGAAGCTTACAACCTCATCATACACTGACAGTTTTCTTTATGTTAATTTGAATGAGTATAATAAGTTATTCTATTCTGTGACAGATGGCGCCACTGGGCCATTAGAAATTTATTTTCGTGTAGATTTTTTATAACAATTTTATCGGTGGAAAAACAAATAATCTGACTCTATTCCAATGTTTCCTTGTGGAAATGTCTCTCTTGGTATATTTTCCATTTGCTGGTCTTCTTTTGAGTAAAAAAATACATTATACCTTCTTCCCCCTTCACCTCTTAACCTGTAGACGAAGCTTACAACCTCATTATACGTTGACAGTTTTCTTTATGGTAATTTGAATGAGTACTAATAAGTTAATCTATTCTGTGAAAGATGGCGCCACTAGGCCTTTTCCACATAAATTTAGAAAACTATTTTCGTATAGATTTTTTTTATAACAATTTCATAGGTAGAAAAACAAATACTTCCACTCTATTCCAGCTTTTTTCTCATGTGAAAATTCGTCTCTTAGTATATTTTTCATTTGCTGGTCTTCTTTTAAGTAAAAAATCACATTATACCTTCTCCTCCCTCCACCTCTTAATCGGTAGACGAAGCTTGCAACCTCATTATTTATTGACAGTTTTCTTTATGTTTTTTCAAATGTTTAATAAGAAGTTGTTCTATTCTGTGGAAGATGACGCCACTAGGTCATTTCCACATAAATTTAGAAAACTATTTTCGTATAGATTTTTTATAACAATTTTATCGATGAGAAAACAAATAATTTGACTCTATTCCTGTGGGTATTTGTGCAAATTTGTCACTTAGTATTTTTCCATTTCCTGGTCTTCTTTTAGGTGAGAAAAACACATTATACCTTTGAATATTTATGAGTTTCGACAACTGTTCTGATAATAAAAGGACACAGTGTTTCTCATTTCCTTAACCAGCCTTACCTACCTTCAATAATAAAACCCTGTTATTCTCATAAGTGAGAAAGGTTTGATCGGGAATTTTATTGAAAACATTTCTTGTGAATTTCTACCCGAAATCACTGATGTGTGTATGAAAGTAAAAGTGTACCCAGTTAGACATAAATGACATGTTTTGGAATACTGAAGACGAAACTTGGTTGTTGCCTAGTGCGTCGAGAAGAGTTTTGCAACTATAAGAACTCTCGATTCTGAAAATGCGCTCCACTGAATCTTTCAAATCAATTTATTAATATCCACTCTCCGCTTTCAAGGACACACACTGTACCTAAATAGTGTACCTACGACCACCGTTCACGATCTTGAATAGAATTTGATAGTGCGAAGCCCTTCCTTGAGGTAGCCCGGTATACCCTCCTCCTTTGTTTTCGAATAATCTTTAAACAAAACGAATGGATTCACAATGGCACAAATAAAGCAGATGGGCCGACAGGTTAGGCAGATGCACAGCACCTGCTTGTGTCAGAAGTCCACCTGTGCGAGGGGACCATTATCGCAAAGACCATGCAAACACAACCTGCTTCAACTTACCCATCGCTATCATTATTATGTTATTATCTGCTCGGAGAATCACTTGATATTAGAGTTGGCCATGTGTGAAGCGTTACAGGGTGAGATGTGGATGCGTTCTGACTGAGATATTTCACGGATGACGAGGTTAAATACGATAGAATGCAACAATATGCTGCTACTACTGCTACTCGGCTTATTTCGATTTTCCGGCAACTTCTCCTGATACCCATAATTTATCTCCCTCAACTACTAGGTGCAGGTACTTTAAGGTAGTTAAATAACACTAGTTTGTGTCTAAGCTTTTTTTTTTGGTTTGTTCACTATGGTTTGCGGGTTTTTATACCGAACATTTTTTATACGTAGTTGTCTTCCATCAGTTATAGGCGTGGCTTCGTTTCTACTGGTTGCCTGATACGTATACAATTCAGTGCAGGTAACCAAACTTTATTTATGTTAGTTCTTTTTTTTTGTGAAAATGTCTTTGTGTTTCTGATTTTTCATCGCCTCCTTATATTGTCTCAGATAGTAGCTCTGAGTTCTATCGAGTCAATCGTTGCAAATGGTTTAAATTTGAAATTATTTGCAATATCAAAAAATGAGCTCAACTACGTGAGATGTACAAGAAAACTAGTAATAGGCATTACAATGATGGATTCAAGAGATTGAGATCAAAATCAAAGCTGCATGGTATACAAGAATCTGTCATACTTTCATTCCGAAAATAGAACCGCTTAGATAGAATAAAATATGACGACCCCAAAATTGATTATCCACATAAAATTATTAAAACTTCTTAGTTGCTACAAGGAAAAAGGTAACCTTAACCTTCAGCTTTATTTCATCAACAGTAGTATAAAAATGCAAAAAATGAAAAAAAAAATTGAAAGAATTTCCACATTTATGATAAAGAAATTAGTTACAAAGTACCTCTAATGAATAAAACTATTGGACAAAAAGCTTCAACTACATATAGTTGGCTCATAAGCCGAAAGCTATTCAGTGGTATTCCACTACGTACTCTAATATTTTTATACCCCACGTAATCACAATTGATACTACCTAATCAGGTACTTACTCGATCATAATTATCTAATTACTGGATTTTCATCAAGTAACGGCCGAACCAATCTGAAAAAAAGATCTAGAGTACGTTTGATTTCTTGCTCTGTAGAGCTTGGTCTAGACAAAGTTCTTCTCCAAGAAAATGTGGCTCACAAATCCTGATGGTTCGATTAACAAGGGTTATCATCAGAGCACGTTTTTGCCCTGGATGATGATTGGAATCTTTGTTGAGATACCAATCAGTATTAGTAGGTTTGCGATTAAGTGTGTGACCTAGTTTTCCGTCATTTTTTTGTTGACCAGCACTTCTTTCCTAAGCTTTCCTTTTCCTTGGTAAACTGTATGCGATGATGAATGAAGTTGATGTGACGTGGAAACTGTTCTATAATGCTTGTTTCCGTGGCTCCAAATAACAAAAGTATCATCAATGTAGCGAAACCAACAGGTAGACTTCAATTGAGCGGTACTGAGCGATTTTTTTACGAAAACTTGCATGTAGAAAGCTGCAACCACAAAGCCAAGAAGACTTCATCTATTTTTTCACAGAAAGTTATCCTATTGGAAGTATGTAGTGGTGAAAACGTTGTCGAATAGATCTGTGACGTCCCCTTAGAAGGCGTGTTTGGTCTGCTCCAACTTTTTATTGACTGGTAGATACTTATTTTCTCGATGAAATGAGATGAGTCCTTGTGATATTCTCCTTTTCCGAATACGTATGACTGCAGAAGGTTTACCACGGCTTACTATCCCGGATTTTAAACTATAGTGAATGTGAAAACTATTCACATTCACTATAGGTGATGGCACATTATCTCTGAAAATTTTTGTAGCAGCGGTCGGATTCCGGTTGAGTTTCCTTTAACCTTTCTGAATACGATTCTTGCTAGTATGCTAGTATGCTGACCTCGTTTTCGAGGAGGTCGTAATGTATTGCTTGTCATACCGTTGTAGAGGCAACCCTTTTGGCTTTCATGTCTCATTACATTCAAATAGTCTACATTATATTATCGTGAACACTTTCCCATATTCTTTATATATTTCACGTACGTCGATATCCCCGTATATCGGGCACAGGTGCCCAGATCTATTTTAGAACTACCCGGTGGTGCCTTCTGTGCCATCAGACACCCGACCCAAATGTACGAATGGCGCAATTTATGGCAGATGGGACTGTCGCTCCTGCTGAATGTTTTAATTAATTTGGATTCGTTGAAAACGTGTATAAAATGTCGGTCAGATAAATTATTCAGCGGGTTATGAATGATTAATGATATGTATTTACGTTTCGGGAATGTAATTATTAATCGGATGGAAACCAGTGTTGGAATATGAAAGTGTCCTCTCTCTCAATGAACGGAA